GAAGCCCCCAAAACAGTTCAAAGTTCGATGCTTTTAGAAGGCCACTAAAACCTTAAGAAAGCAACATTAGCAACACAAAGACAACATTACTAGAAAAACAAAGTCCTGACACACAAAACAAGACAAGAAAAACATTCTTTAATCCCTGCGTTGACACACTCATGACTGTTCATTGTTCAAAAGATGAAACATTTCAGTCAGGACGCACTAAACCATCTTTGAACGCCATTTCACCTGACGCATTATCATGTAATCCTTTGGTATAAACGTACACTACGTTGCCTATGAAAGCTGTCTTTGACGTTTATTTCTTTGTAGCAACTAACACTAAGATTCTAATGCTTTGGGCGGGGTTTTCTGACCTCAGAGTTGACTTTGCGAACACTACACCGCCTTAGGGATGTCTAGTAGAAACCTTCAGCGCTTCAACGAGCATTCCATAGATCCCCAGGCAACGCTCTCCTTATAATCCAACTTATGGTATTTATCACACAAAGGCAACGAATGGGACTCTTTGATTTTCTATTGATTCCGCGAGCATGTTTATGATATAAAACAATTCTAAAAAACTCAGCTTAGCCGTAGCACGCCCCAAGCTGTTTGACTGAAGAACCATGGACAGGATTTATTGACAAGAGTCGAGAATCAGACTCATGTTGGTTATTTCATTTGACAAAATGGTTAAACTCAGCTTAGTTTCSCTGATTTGTGGTTTCTATAATACACGCCAAATATATGAACCATTCATTGTGTGGTTCGTATTCAATAATCATTGAAAAATATCCACTACACTTCTCAAATTAAATTATGAAAGTGAAATCTTAGGTTCCATGAGTAATCAATTGAGCGACAACAAGTCAAATGTTTCGGAAGATGCACAAATTCCTTTTTGAACTGTTAAATATACTACATAGATTTGATTTCGAAAATCATCAGAAAGTGAATTCTTATGAATTGTTCTTTTGTGTCTGCATGGTAAAGATCACTTTATCAGGGACCAGCAATGGTTTCAGCAAAGGGAAAAATTGAAAAATGTAACAATTGTTACAGATACATCCATGTGTATATAGTGATCATATAAGCTATGTGTTGAACAGWTGAAAAAAGTATTGGAAAAAATAAGAATTTTAAGCCAACGTTTTAAGGGAGAGACCAAATGCAAACCACTGCACTTATTTATACTGCCAGGACTTAAAAAAATATCAGAAAACTRGGATTTTATTCCATGTTTGCTGATTTTCAGAAGCCATTTTTATGGACAACTGAAGTGATGAAAATGAAGGTTATATTCCAGATGAGGAAAACAGGAAACTTTATATGAAAAAAAAACAAGATTTTTAGAGGAGAAAGAAAAAAGGTGTTATTTTCACAAAGAGGTACAAYTYTATTGACAGTAAGTTTTGTCGTTTAGCTTGTTTCAAGATTACACATTTGCAGGTGAAGCWAAAAAAGAGGATGTCTRTGTTTCCTTCGATTTGCTTAGAGGTTATACACTGCACCTAGCCACCAAYGTGTGATGGATAGRAGTCACTTCTTAATTATACTCATCAGGTCGTTCTTCCGAATCAAAATGCCAAAAGTGTTAGTTTTAGAGTCGCTGTAGAAACATAGTGTAATAATACAGTTAATGAAATTTGTGATCTAAGACAGAGAAGTGTTGTTAGTATTTAAACTAAGTTTGTAATCCAACCTTTTGTACTATATATTCAACTGTATTTGGGATAGTGGCTTTGCAAAACACCRGTGTTTCATACAAAAGATTGAATGTCGTCAATGCGCAGAGGAAAATCTACACAGCTTTGTTAGGATAACATTAGACCAATGGTGTCAGCCATTGTTCGTCGTTTGGCTAAAGAACAAGCACTCTTTTGTAGTTTTCTAGCAACAAACATAGAAATTAGATTTTGACTGAATTGAACCCAACTGTGAAACATTATGTTTGGCTAAACTAGGRCACTGCAATTCTATTAGAGCAAAGCTAGTGACCAAGAAAAGCGGATTTAAAGTGATTTTTTAGTTTCTAATGACGCTTCAGCACGCAGTATTAATTAGTGCGAGGATGTCTGAAGGATGGGGCCACTCTCRTGCATACCAGAATAGAGCCTCGTTATTTTGCTTTATTGACGTAAACYATCCAATTCATTACGTTAAAATAAATCTATTAATTCTTATACTTTCGATAAGACACAAAACACGCAACAATAGCGTCACAAATGGACAAATTGATACAGAACGCTACAGTGGCTTTAAAAGYAGCCCAACTAATTAAAGACGATAGGCTATGAACCACTTTGTGGAACCTCAATAATTCTCTGTCATCAAGGCAGGCCATTTGATGTACTAGCATTTATAGACTAAGGCTTTTTTGAAAGGAGTAATATTTAAGAGTAAAACGATACGGTACTTTTCACTACACGTAAAGTGTGTCCAGTTTGCGGGCAGGTTTGTTTGCGATACAGATAGTGTTGTTTGTGTTTTTAATGGACAATGTAACATCATCCGCGATGAGCGAAACGCAGCTTTCAAATGTCCCAAAGACAAAGAACAAGCGCTCATCGATCCGATAATCCCTCAAGTTCACCAACAAACGAGGGTTAATCCGAAACCTKATGGTTGAAGTTTTGTTAGACATGCTAGATCAATAGCATGTACAACTCTTTGAGGCTAGTACGTCTTCCAAACAGCTGAAGAGTTCAAAACATTTTCAAGAAAAAAATCACACTTTKAACGAACGCAAAACACCTTACTAAACTTTGTTCGCCACTTACAGTTTGCTTTCTATTCTAGGACGGCAACACGTTAAGCTTTAGAGCAAAGTGGAAATTTCCGCCAAACGCTATTTTATTACAATGTGACTGTAGACTRTATTGTGCTAGGCTAACAAMCGATYACTGTATCGTCGCTACTGTGCGCTAGGACTATCTGCTTGACGAGATCCGAAACGCGATCTCTGAATCTACTGACACAAGTTAAGATAAAATCCAAGTAGATAATAAAGTGTCATGAGAAGGAAGAAACACTGTTTTGTTTCATGAATCATRAAAAGACCAAAGTGATTACAATAAAATTCTGAATTGAATTGAAGTGTCAGGAAAAGGCTTTCTCAATAAATAAGATAAAGGTCTTGACACGGACTCACGCCACTCTTGTACAATATCTACACAGCTCCTATGTACTGTAATATTGTATCGCTTTTTACGATTTCTGAAGTACGAAACGATTGTATTTACGACCAAACCTTTAAACAACTCGTCAAGTTTTTTCGTCACCTTACCATATTTTATCTTCTTTCGCAAACAGATTTACTTTCCTCCCTGTAGTTCAACCAACTATTTCTCTAAGATATATTTTAAGCATGCTTGCTTTAAAGCACATTAGCTTACCATATCTTGCTGCGGAGAGGTGATCTGTATGAGGGTGACGCGGAGAGAGCAGCGTATCTACCCCAAAGCTCAAAGGAAGAACGCTGACTGGAGAACTAAGAGAATTCGTAGTTATCGGACMATCGTCGTTGCTTCTTGTCATGGAAGAAGCTACACTAGTTGCGGTCGATTTCTTTTCTGTAGGAGAAGCTAATATATCGTCAATGCGGAAAGACCGAGGTCTGCTGCGTTCTTCTTGGTCGTTGTTACTCATTCTGTACGTTGATCAATGAAAGGTGATTTTATGGTTGTATTGTGTAAGGCCCGTGGATAACCTTCACTTGTCTTCTGCACTTTATACAACTGTCTATCGTTTACTTGGTTTAGCACCACATTGGCATTCTATTGTTGACTGTCAGAGCGCTGTCCATTAGTGGTGATTTGTTGATTTTTATCATTTTTTATCATCGCCCTTCATCAGCCTCAGTCATTCTTACCCAGTCCTCTGTGGGTCACTGGACATTATTTCTATCCATACCCAGATGTGCTATGTATTTATCTTTGCCTTTAATTCAAACTGACGATTAAAAGCTTTCTTGGTCAGTCACATGTTAAGCGTTCCTGGTTATTAACGTTCTTASGGTGTTTCTTTTAATACGTTTAAATAGCTATATAGAGATGTTTATTGATGAGATAAATTCATTATTAAAGTTTATGTGCAGCAGCAATTTAATGGTGTTTAGATTAAAACCTTTTTGACCTCAAGGGCATCAATGTACCGATAACCCTACCGACACACCCTACACGTGTGCAATCGACTCTGTTGTTTCTATGTATTAGCCTGTTCATTTACATACATAAATCGTTTAACAAGTCAATTAAAGCTATCTATGAATCTGTCCGTATTAAATGCTTCCACTCCAATCTTATCGCTCGTCAATGAGCACCTCCGAAAAAACAATGCTGCAAAGGCGGAGCCGAAAGTTATGCAATGAAAAAATTAGCAGTTCACATTAAATTCGCATTTAGCGTTTATGAGCGGAAATCTTGGAGTCAAAGAGATGTTGTTTCTGAAAATGGCTGGCTTTCTTTATGCCGTCAATGGACTTGACAGTAGCATTGAATGAGACAAAGGTCCTTGACAACCTACACATCACTCCGAGTAAGTTGGTAAACACATTAAGACGAATAAAAAGATAGCCTTCTCTCTTGCAGACGTCCGTTGATGAAATAGGTCAATATTACCAATCTGGGATTCCGGTCCTCAATATAGAAACACCTTGTCCTAAAACCATCAATATTGTACTAAAATACTTCAACATTATGAATTGTATGTCTATATTTSAAACAAGATGGAAGGATGAGCTATTTTACGAGATGACAGTGTGGTCGGTTCTCGTGCTGTCATATGTGGTATTTCAACAATTTGAGCTGTTCGAGTCGTGTGCGTCTGTTTTCACGTCATACGTCGTGAATCGAGGCGCGTTAAAATAACGAGTACATCTTGTTGAGCATATCGCTTGTTAATGCAGTGAATTGTTATTATGTTGTATTAGGACGGACCTTTATAAACACAAATCACTTTGGCTGTTAGAGTGATGGACAAGCAAGAATTTCTTAATCCTTTTTAACACGTATATTTTCAATTCATAAAACACACAAAAGAGGAATCGAATTCAACGATCACTCAAGACCATTTTAACTTATTGATTAAGACTGACCATTGTCGAAACACGATATTCCAAAACTTGGACGTCAGCCGCTGATACAAGTAAATGGTTTTTACAGCGAAGTTCATTTAGGAAATGACTGAAGTGTTTTGGAGATGCCTAGCCTAGGTGCTTAGACCTCGCACATAATGAATCCCCCACAAGTGTTTGCATTCCTATTCAAAGGAAGACCATCTCTAGAGGCTATCTAAACATGTCTGTTTCACACACTGTTTGCAAGCTATTACAGATATCAGGGAAACCTAGGCACCAGTCAGTGCTTTGACCCTTTTTGCATWGCTTTTGAAGGGGAATATTCTACAAGTAGTTCTGTTCGCAGAGTAGAAAGAGAAAGAGGAGAGAGGAAATATTACAAAACAAAAAGACCAAAGGAAAGTGAGAGAGAACGCCGAGAAGCGCAAAGMGAGAAAAAACGGAGAAGCACATGAAAGAGTAAAATCTTTCTRTAAAAAGGAGTGCGTTTTTTGTCGTTTGTTTCGAGGTCACAAAGACTGAAAAACCCCCCGATGATTTCCATTTATATACTAGTAAGGCTTTCGTCTGCGAAGGCAACACAATCTACGTAAATAACACTACAATAACATCAATTGTTTGRAGAATGTTTTTCGATGCATGGTAGTTTTTGCTAAGTCTTTCATCAGTTCAGTAATTTATGTCAGTGTCGAAGTCATTAAAGAGGCAAAGTGATTAACAGAAGCGGTGACAAGAATCAATTAATTCCTCATTATATCGACTTGTGCGGCTTGTATGCGGCTTGTATGCTCATCTGTTTCTAATCAATGTTCTTGTAAATCAAATGGGGTTCCTGTGTTAAGATATACGTCGGTTCAATATAATTTAAAGGCACTCGAAAGGAAGCAACAAGTTTGATATTGAAAATATTTCATAAGCGTTTTGTAGATGTTTTCCTGTTGTATGAGCGGAACCCCATTATAGTCCTTATACAAGAAATACAACAGGTAAGAATGCTCGACGCACCTCTTGCACCAATGCATCATTGGCCGCGTGGCTAATAACATTTCCGCTAATGACGTCATGGTTGTTTAGTCGCAGTGCATCATGGTATTGAAAAATATTAAAATGACGACGCAGCTTCTTTGCGAAATTAACATCATCCCTTGTAGGGAATGCTTTGAAGGAATATAAATAATAATCTTGTACACTATAGTATATAAATTAATCGACGCAACACAACGTAGCTCYAGCAGTGACGATTTACGGCCYATCCCATAGTGCACCTCGCCGGCCATCTGTACTCATGTTTAGCAATAACAGACTTCATTTGACATTTTAGCTTTTAATCATGTTTTATTAAACAAATATAGCTTTTTTCACTAGATTTCATGATTTTGTTAAAAAATTTGTTGTTGATTATCTGTTTAATACCACGACTAAAACGGCATTCACATGTTTGATTAAAATTTTAGCTTAAATGAAAAGAAATTATATTTTCGAACGTGTAAGCCAGAAGAAATCCTGTAGAAAGAGGAAAACACCGTAAGTATTGAAAATAAATAAAAAGAAAAGAAACTTAACCCATAAACTAAACCACACAAAGAAACTAGAGAACACAAACGTGAGCCTTCATACCTGCGGTTTTCGACCAGCGGATGTATTCACCATGATATTTATTAAAACCGGTTTTTTCTTGTGTTTAGTCTCTTCAAAGGCATTAGTTAGTGCATCTCGTAACTGGTTTTTGGTTTCTGCAAAGTAGCCTTTACAGTCGAAAGCTTCGATAATTTTTTCGTATCTTGCATTTGGAAGAAGCGCAGTTGGAGGAGATCTGGAAATTTAGAAAAATAATCAGAATTTTGCCGGCTGCAGAAGCAAGATAACATCATTGACAATGTTCTTACTCGGTTGCAGGTTCATCTACATATTCCCAAGACTTTTTGTCAAGTCCACTATAAATGCCATTGTTGTTTATAATCATGAATACAATTGGCAAATTGTATCTGTGAAAAATAATCAGAAATTAGTATGGTACACGACGCGGAAAACAGCAACAATGACAAATTAAGTGCCACTAAGGACTTTGTGAGCTCGTTTTTGCACACCRGAATATCTAGAAATTAAACCGTGACGCTGGAATAAGTAAAKAATTACTTGTACCTTGCAGCGGTTTCCACTTCCATCCCTGAAAACCCAAAGGCGCTATCACCTTGGATACACACTACTCTTCGAGCAGGMTGGTCATCGSGAGCCTCGTTTTCTGCAATCATTGCCGCAGCAATAGCAAAGCCTGTCCCGAGACCCATAGTTCCAAATGTACCAGCATCTAGTCTAACGGAAGGAAATAATGCAATTACTTTATTTTTATCTTTTGGCTCAGCTTTTCTCAATTAAAAACTTTTCACAAACAAACAAAAACCGCGAAAAAAACATCGAAAACAAAACTACAAATGCAACAATATACAACTGTGAGTTCCAAAACTTACCTTTGCCTCGGTAAAACGTTGGGCATCATAGTTCTCCCAATGTCCATAGTATTTGCACCTTCATTCACGATGATGCAATCACGCGGTAAAAACTCTCTGATCTAAAACACCAAATAGACAATAACACCACACCTAATTTGCACAAACTGCTAGTGTAATGTGACAAAATGTAAAGACTGATTGTAGCTATGGTTACCTGTCCGTAAGCTTGATAATACGTCATTGGGAAGGTATCTGCACTTGCTAGTTGCTAAACAGGATGAACACAAAATGCAAATCTCATCAACATCACTGCTTCAATAAACACTCTTGGCAGGTTTCTCTTTTAGGGAACTTCGTGTAATGGCAACTTAAATTGCTAGTCGTACCTTGAATAATATTTACCGGAGTTCTTCCAAATAAAACCGGACTTCTTGCAAACACTGTCACGCGATTCTCGAAAGGCGGGAAAAAGACGGGCGCTCACACTGTACAGTAGCGAATTCAACCAGTAGCATTGTGTGTGCAAATATTTAAAACATTTTACTGCTTGAACGAGAACTCTTGAAGAATCAACTTCCAAGTTTTTCATTAAGCTCGTCTACTGTTTTATGGCAAAACTGACAAGCTACACATGCAAATGCAAATATAAAAACACAATAGTTCTCAAACCTGACTGAGGAGAACGTTCTTTTGGACTTTTACTTTTAATTCGCGTAACCACTCACGTGACCCTCCTAAATGTTTCATAGCATTTCCATGGTAACGTTTGGAAATTTCACTGTTCAGCTGAAAAAAATACAGTATACAACAACGAAATAAAGTATTGTATACAATTAGTTAAGGACAAGGAGGAATGCGCCCACGAAAATGTGTGCCACTCACTATCTAGTTTCATTGAAAATAATAAGACTTACTTACCTGGTCTACTACTAAGCTCAGGTCTCCAAGCAACACTACTTTTGGGTGTACATTATTTCCTAATTCCTCAGCGCAAATGTCAACCTGAATTATATAAGTAATCAATGAAAAATATGCATGATTAGTCTGTCAAAAAATGTATTTGTGTGCAGTATTTAATTCTTTTTTAATTTGCTTTAGTACATAGAATAATTTACATAGACATTGCCTGGTTTACATTAGCACAAGCATAAGAATAAGCACTAACATAAAAGCATAAAGGGACGTTGTTACAGTTGATTTTATCTTTGTTTTAATGGGTGCACAGGACAAGAATAGTGACCTGAATCATTTTCACGTCTTCTTGAAATCTTGGTGGTCTTCCAAAATGCAAAATCCAGTTCAGCCTTGCTCCAAGTAAAAATATCACATCGGCATTCAGCAAAGCCCTGAAAGTCAGTGATTATGTTACTTCAACTATGTGAATCTAGCTCCATCATGTGTAGTTTTGGGTAGAATACAAAGGTTATGCACTCGACTTGATTAGCCAACATATCTATGCCTGTTTTAACCTGCATTTCCCTCCCACTAATTCTAAGAC